TTGAGGGTGGATCCAGGTGGAACATGAACCGAGCCCATGAAGCTGTGGATGTGAGTGAAACGTCACACACAAGAATCTATGATGTCCGCCTGATGTCCAACGTCAATGCCCTCAGCAACAGTGTCCTTGGCCGTGCACTCATTCCAGAATTTATTCCCCCTGGAAGACCCACCGGTAAGATACTCCAGGAGACAGCTTTTTCCTTGTTACTACACTTTTATAAATTCAACAAATAAACCTTTACCTGTCTTCTCTCACCTATTACAGTGGCAACCTGTCAATTCTGAATTAAAATATGTATTTTCCCTCATGATTCTTTATGGCAGCTGAGCGTATTACTGTGGTGTATTTGCTGGCTCAGTCTGACAAAGGAGACCTGCTGGATCCACAACGGCACAGCGAACTTGGCATCGTTTTGCCAGACCTGCCGGTAGAAGTTCAGGAGGAGCAGTGTCTTGATGTCACGATAAGTAATGCAGCTGACATCCTCATTGAGAGCCCACCTGAAGCCACCCAGTGTGATGACCAGCTGGACATTGCACCATTTCCACCTGACGACTCTCCCAACACATCATCTCTGGTAATCTGTCATTGAAATTCTACATTCTATTCATTTATATATACTATGAATGATATGTTGTGATCTCAATTTGTTTCGCATGCTTATGCAGCAATACATTTTGTACAAAGACAAATTAATAATCAAATGGATATTTGTTTCTCATAACTGTTTTTCTCTCTCTCTCTCTCTCTCTCTCACAAATTCCCAGGACACCAGTTTTGATGTAAGCGGTGTCTCTTGCAGTCCTGTGAGTCCAGCCATTAGTCTACCTGCTGAGGACATTTCCTCTAGTAGACCCAGCAATCTCAGTAACGCACATTGCAACGCATTTGAACCAAAAGTTTATGTTGTTTAGTTTTTTTAATAATTCACCAACATTGAGAAACATTTTGGCACATGACATAGACCCACCTGATCCGCGGATAACTCATCACCTCGGATAACTGCGCATCACTAGAACCCTCCTATGCAGCACATCTTACTATCAGAATAATGCGCCCATTAAACAGCAGTGAAAGTAACTCAAGAGTAACGCAAAACTGGTGTAAAGCAGTCAGAGACAGTAATATTGTAATATAACTAATTATTCTTAAATGACAGTAACTAGTAATCTATAATGTATTACATTTTAGAAGTAACTTGCCCCACACTGTACACTGTAAACACAGGGTTATGCATTGCCAATGTCCCTAGCAGCATACATTCTGTAAACAAGATGGCATTCCAACATTACCAGTAAACATTTGGAACCCAAACACAGTATGGCTTTCTTGTAATAATGAGTTATGTGACTGTGTCACATGTATACATACTCTGTTTAAAGTAGGATGACATTTGTTAAATGCAGCAACACTGCACCCAAGATAAATCCCCCTAACAATTAAGCACATAGTAACTTAATTTTCAATAGTTGTTTTTAATTTTTCAGGATAGCCGATGTGATTCAAGAGGTTTTCCTGGCTGGGAGGTGTTTGATAACCTGGCGGAGTACCTTGTGAACCTCAACCGCACAATAACTGCTTTGTCAGCAACAGCTGAGATTGTGTGACAGTATTCTAGTTTGCATGACATGGACAAGTCTCCCTCCAAATATTCCCTGAAGTGCAAGAAGAAGACCTTGCCAGAGCCATGGAGAGCATCCAGGAAACGCAGCGGCTCGGCACCTGGTCAACAAGCAGCTGAAAGGTCAACTGACCGATAGCAGATGCACACATTATGTAATTCTCATGTATCATAATTATCATTAATAACACATTACACTTACACTTAAGCAGTATTACACAAGCAGAGCCATGTTGCCCTTACAGCATTTTAGTAACAAATTCACACAGGTGGACTGCTATAAATAGTCAAATTTTGAAGTGGGATTATACTCTATCATGATTCATAAAACGCCTCTCCAATCATAGTAGCGGACCAGAGCTGCCTGTCGTATAATGTATCTCTAGATAGATATAGATATTTATTATATACAAATATTGTCTTTTTCTTTCACAGATTGTTCATGACCCATTGCCAGGCTGCCCAGAGACCTGATTCCAAAAGGACTTCAGAATGTATTTCCCTCAGGCTTTTGAAGGAGTTTGAACGAGCTAGAAATATATGGAACATCCAAAGTGTCAGAATTAAATGAAAGAATAAATAAATAAATGGGGAAATATATGCAAGAAAGAATGAATGAATAAAAGAATAAATACATACATTTGCTTTTGCCTTTCCCCAAGGAGACCTATTGTCATTGCTTTTCCCTTAGAGACCTATGTGTATTGCTTTTTCCTACCTCTTCCTTAACTGTCAATCAACGTGTTGTGACTTATCCACTAAGTCAGGTCGAGCAGCCGATGACTGATACTATCTTCAGTGTCCATATGCTGTCTCTGGAAGAGTGTTATGATTGGTAGAAAGTTTGGAAGGAGTTATGCTGCGTTCAAGACTGGTCGGAACTGGGATATTTCCCAGTTGAAACTTCCGACTTCCCAAATCAAAGCGTTCCAGGTGCATGGTGGTGCATGATGCCGAAAGTGAACGAAAACCATGGCTAACTGTGACAAAGTGTACACACAGTTGCACCCTCAGCAGTGTTTTAGGTGTTAATTAAAAGGATGGCAGTTTAACTTCAACAACCGGCATAAATAGCCTATAGTTACTAGTTCAATTCAATTTTATTTATATAGCGCCAAATCACAACAACAGTTATCTCACAGCGCTTTTCATAAAAGAGCAGGTGAATGATTATAATAACAATAATAACAATAGGACTAGTAACAATAGTTGTTTCCTGGTTCCTGTCAGAACACGTGCTGCAGCATTCTGAATCAGCTGTCTTTAGTCTTTATGGACTTTTTCGAGCAGCCTGATAATAAGGAATTGCAGTAATCCAGCCTAGAAGTAACAAATGCATGGACTAGTTTTTCTGCATCATTTTTAGACAGGATGTTCCTGATTTTCGCAATATTACGTAGGTGAAAAAAGAACTTCAACTTCAAGTTGTGCAGCAGAAGAAAACAAGATGCCAGAGCGCTGTGCAGCATAATCATGCTCAAATCGGCAGCCCATCGCAAACAGGGCTCAGGGGATTACTTTTCACAAGTAAGATTTAACATTACCGTACTATTATGTGTATTTTGTGAATAGAATATTACCAGAGACTGCTCGGGGAACACATTGAGGAGACACAGTTTCGCATCGACAACCATCGTTCTGACTTGTTGTCATTGGTTGTGTCTGTGTTTCTCAGGATAAGGCTGCACCACGTTGCCAAACTCACCTCTCTGGAACTGCAGAAAGGGAGCACGAGAAAGAAGCTCTGCACAACAGTCCTCTTTCAGGGGTTTTAGCTCATGCAAAGCTTACATGTGTGTCTGTGTGTGTGTTGGGCTGCTGAATGGGCAGGGAGGAGATGGATGCAGAAGAACATGTTAGTACATTGTGTGTGTGTGACAGAGAGGGACAAATATAAAAAGCTTCAAGTAGACTAATATAATTTAATCATATATTGTTTGTTTATTAATCATATATTATATTGGTTCAAATTGTTAAAATATCTGACTTTACTCTCACTATCTGTTTCTGCTTCGCTATCATATTTATAGTCATGGATTTGCAATATACCTATCATATCATCACATATCATAGGGTGACCAGACGTCCCAGGCTTCAGGGACAGCCCCCATTTTTGGTTCCCTTACCCTGGCTAAATACAGAAAAAAACTCTGTATAGAAGTAATAGTATTAATTTAAAATAGAAAAAAATTGATAGTCAAACTGGAAATGTCCCCGTTTTTCTCCCTTTTCGTAGATTATGTTCCCAGTTTTGATCTCAGACATCTGGTCACTTTATATCATTTATCAGAATATTCTATTACTGTTGAGCCCACTATGAATATTAAAATACGCCGAACCATGTATCCTGTGTCATAGCTACTTTAACGTTAGTTGGGTTGTATCTGCTTCCCCTTGGACATATTATCCATAAACATGGCATTTCTTTTCATATTTATGCTGATGATACACAAATATACTTGCCCGTCAGATCCACAGACCCTGGAATGCTGAGTTCACTTAACAACTGCCTTTGTGAAGTTAAAAAATGGATGTCAAATAATTTCCTCCAGCTGAACTCAGACAAAACAGAAATCCTGGTCATTGGGTCTCAGCAGATGGCAAATCAAATACTGCCATCTGCTGGTTCCCTAGTAAATCACATTAAGCCTGTGGCAAAGAACCTTGGTGTTTGGTTTGATAGTAATTTAAATTTCGAGAAGCACACCACAAAGCTTGTTCAATCATGTTTTTATCAACTTAGAAATATAGCAAAAATTCGATCTATGTTAACTTTTAAGGACACCGAGACCATTTTACACGCCTTCATCTCATAACGCCTGGATTATTGCAACAGCCTTTTCACCTGTTTGACCCAAAAATCTATTGATCGACTCCAGACTGTCCAGAACTCAGCTGCCAGGCTTTTAACCAGAACAAAGAAATATGACCACATTACTCCTATTTTAGCTTCATTACACCCAGTATGTTTTAGAATTGACTTTAAAATTCTATTGATCACTTTTAAAGCTCTTCATGGCCTCTCGCCTTGTTATATTTCTGACCTTTTAGTCCCATACGCACCAGCACGTACCTTGAGATCCTCGGGCAGAGGTCTGTTGTCTGTTCCAGAGTCTTGACTGAAAACTAAAGGGGACAGAGCGTTTGCTGTCAGGGCCCCGAGGCTCTGGAACAGCCTGCCCGAGGAAATCAGGTCGGCTGAGTCAGTGAACTCTTTTAAGTCCCTTCTTAAAACATACTTTTATAGGAGAGCCTTTCCCGATCTTATTTGACTTTATTTTATCCCTTTTATTTTATTTACTAATTTTATATTTATCTTAAACGTGTATTTTAGTCTTTTCAATGTTTTCATGCTTTTATCTTGTATTGTTTTTTGTATTATTGTCTCTTGGGTATTACTGTCTTTACACTTGTTTAAGCACTTTGTAACTTGTTTTTGAAAATAAAGATTATTATTATTATTACATGTATGACCTTTGCATAGTTCGGTGTTCAGTGAGTTGTGATTAATTAAATGCGCCGACAGCTCATCGCACGTGCGCACAGATTACACTGAGTGGAGCGGGTGACCGGTTCAAGATGGCGGCCCCACGGCTCGTCCGCGCCAGTAGACAGCAGCGGTCGATGGGGCGTCTGTGTATATTACGTTTCTAACTACTATGTAGTAGAAAAAGAATCTCTCCTTTATTAGAAGTGGAATTTTGGGCAAATGCAGGACCACAGCTATTATTTAGCACAAGAGCCGACGGAGGGTGAATGCTTTAAGAAGCCAGACTTAATAACGGGAGCTACGCAGGCAGAAATCACGGGAAAACATCGGTGTGGCTTTTCCCAGATGGAAGAAGGGTCTAATGAGGGAAAAATGTTTTCAAAGCGACGCCGAAGTTGTCTATTTTCTGCTGGACAGGTAAGGTAACGCTATTCCAACTTTAGCTTTGCAAATGAAAACTGTTGTTTGATGATGTTAGCATTAGCCAGAAGCTAGCTATAGACAGCGTGAGAAGTGACTTTCCCTTGTCAGTGGTGTAAAATATGTTGTTGGATTGTTTCATGTAACTTAGTTCTTCTCCCTCGCTGTGTTATGGCTTCGCTATGTGGGGATAAATGTGCCGGTTAGTCAGCTGATTAGTATTATTATTAACAGTAACGTTAGCCTACAGCTAACAGCTCATATTAGCCAGCTAAACCTTTACTACCCTGTTAAATATGTAACGTTAACGTTAGTTGGATTGTTATTTCGGAGGTTGTTCTCCAGCGCTTCGCTTTGTTTAGTGAACAGAAATGTGTCTTTTGTGTTTGTGAGACAATCAGCTGATGATTGCAATTAGCTAAAGAAACGGTATCATTGCAAGAGGAAGCATGGTGGCTCAGATTAGCAAGCTAAATGTTTACTGCCTTGGTGGAAAACATTTATTTTTTACTGCTAACAGCATTACGATAACAACACTTAACACACAGCAAGTGACTAATTATGCTTATTGTCAGAATTTGCATTAGAAACAACAATTTGTTTGTATTGCTTCTAAGGTGCATACAAGCTCAAGTTATGGCTGTCAGTACTTATTTGTGTTATATTGTAAAGCACCTCACCTTGATCCTCACCTGACAATGGCTTAGTAAACTTTCCCATGATGTGGTTTATAATGGACTGTGGTACAGAAACAGGGACATTTTTACACACTCTTTGCTTACGTTTTCCATACTTGCACTAGATGTGATAGTTTTTGGGATGTTCAGTTTATTAGGCCAGATGAGCAAACCCTACAAAGATGTAACACATTGTGGATTACAGTACAGTAACGTATTACAGTCGTATGCGACTGTGTCATGTGCATTTATTGATGCTGCTGTTGCTTCTCCAGCTACGAGACAAGTCCTGCAACATCGATTCCCTTGAAGAGAAAACCTTTGCAAGTCCCAGCTCCAGCATTATCTAGCATTGGGGTTTCTACTGGAACAGACTAGTAAGTCATGCATAACAATATATTCATTTTGTCTATCTACTGTTGAATGAGCATATGTGGGATTTACACAACTTGCTCTGGTTATTCTTTACAGAGATGAGCATCTTGATGTCATTCCAGAAGCCACAGAAATTCAGGGCCTTGAACAAAGGTAACATGTACACATCATAACTTTTAGCCCTGTATTGCTTTTCTCCAAATGTCCATAATATAAACTGTAGTTGGATGTCATCAGCATAGCAATGGTAAGATATTTCTTCAAAACTACCAAGGAAGCATATACAAACTGAACAGCAGGGGGCCGAGCACAGAACGTTGGGTCACACCACAGGACAAAGGAGCAGAGTCTGACATATATGTTCCTATGGACACAGAGAAACTCCTGTCTTATCCTGAGATAGGAGGAAAACCAGTCCAGAGCTGATCCAGTAATGCCCACAGTTGTTTTCAGTCTATCAGTCAGAGTGCAGTGATCCACAGTATCAAACGCTGCACTGAGATCTAATAGCACAGAACATTTACCCCCATCAGCTGCCATCAAAATATCATTTGAGACCCTAAGGAGGGCAGTCTCAGTTGAATGTTTGTTTTTGTTTTTTTACAAAAACCAGACTAATCAAAGATATTGTGAGAATCCAAAACATTTTATTATTTAGCTGCTTCGTAACAATCTTTTCTAGAATTTTAGAAAAAAAAGGCAATTTAGAAATAGGCCTATTAGTTTCTAAATGAAGCTGCATCAAGATTGTTTGAACAACAGCATGCTTAAAACAGCTAGGGACCTGGACCAGCTGAAGAGATAAGTTTAAAATCGAAACCAAACATGGGCCAAGTAGATGTATGGATTTTAAAAGGAAAGATGTGGGTAAAAAAAATCAACAGGGCTTTTGGAAGGTTTCATCGTCCCCACTAACTTAATGATGAGATTCAGGGTAATGGGGCAGAATGAGTCCAGAATTGAAAGTCTGTGATGTTTAACAGACAGCTCTAACCTTGTCCACAGAATGAGGGAAAAAAAGTGGTTGCAGTCAACATTTGAAAACAGAGATAATACACGCAGCAGGAGAAACAATGTTGTTAATGGTCTCAAACAGAGCTTTAGGGTTTTCTTTTTCACGGCAGATCTCAGATTAGTAAAATAAGAGGCTCTAGCATCCTTGATCATTTCGTTTAAGTCTATTAAGAGCTCTATTAAGAGCTCTATTAAGAGCTCTTTAAGATGCAGGCTTTGCTTTCCATAAACGCTCAGTTCTCCGACAGACACGCCTCAAGCTGCGAATGGCGTCATACAACCACAGGGATGTATTAACAGAGGGAATTCACTGGGGATGGGACGCTCGATACTGACGTGTCGAGATACCGAAGCACAGACGTTTCGAAACACTGCTCCAAAGCGTGGTTCAAAACGTCAATGTTACATGACCACAGTGAAGCGAGCCTTTGGTGCGTTTCACCCGTAAGGTGGCACACCTACTGCTTCTGAGCTTGATTCACAGTGTTTGGAACAAACCGCACATCAGCCTCTAACTCATTTGACAGATTTGTTCCAAGGACACACAGTCATTTGATTTATTGGAGCGACCTGCTGTAGTAGCTATATCTGCACCTGTAGGCCAAAACATACTTTATGCCAGCAACAAATGTTGCATTTCACCAAATTTTTCTAAGGCTGGGGATGTCAATTATGGAAAAATAAACTACTCAGCCACAGCTGAATATTTCTGAATAAAATTCTTGACATATAAAAAATGTGAGACATTGTTCCATTTTTATCATTTATCATTCTTGAAACAACTTCAACTTTACTCAGTTACAGATTTTTAATCCATTACACCTCATCACTGCCAGCACTCATTATTAATTATTATTACACTAGGGCCTGTATCTTTCCTGCAAATTATCATTACACATCTGTTAATAAGCTACTGTATAATACTGTAGATATCCACATTTATTATTATAGTCTTAGATTTGTATACTTTATTATATTCTCTACTCTCTATAACTTCAACTTTATGTCTATTCCGTTGAGGCCTTGCAAGTATCTGCAACAAAGAATTCACCCTCGTAGATCAATAAAGTATTTCGATTGTGAAAATTGATAGGGTAGTGGTTAAGACAAATGCCTTTACTGTGAGAGATGTGGGTTCGATTCCCACTCTGATACATATGTCCCTGAACAAGACACTTAATCCCTAGTTGCTCCAAAGCTGCGCCCTCTGACACAGCAATTGTGATTTGCTTTTGAGAAAAGTGTCAGCTAAATGAGTATTACAACACACAGATGTGTTTTATTAAAAAGATTTATTGCGATCCCCATCTGCTGTCTCTGACAATCTCAAGGCATTTGTTTGTTTGTTGTATGGTGATTTATTTTTTTTGAAATCGTGTTGGTCACGTATTAATAAGATGTTTAGAATTGTAAACGCTGGTCAATCATTGTTTCAATGAAACCCCTACCAACATGTGCGATATCAAAAGTGACCAGTAGATGTCACCGTGGAGACAGGTGTCGAAGTGTTTCAAAGCCTCGACACAATTCCGGCAGAATTGCTTCAAACGTTTCAGTGTTTCATAAAGCCTCGCTTTGCCCATCACTAGAATTCTCTAGTTTTATGAGGCGCCACTTTGTCCAACAGCAGGGTGCTGTGATCATTGAAAGCCCGTGCACAAGCGTCCACGTCATTCCAAATAAGAACCAAGCTCTAGTCAAATTCTCAACAGTAAGCTGGTTAATCAAATGTGAGCACGGCGCTCGTTTAGCAGGCAGAGGATCCTCATCACAAACAAGATCAAATGAGATTCATTTGTGATCACTAACAAATACATCTTTGATGCAGACATTATTAATGTTTACACCATGAGGAAGAACAAGATTGAGCGTATGTCCCTTGCTGTGTGTAGGACCAGAGACATGCTGAGTGAAGTTAAAAGATTCAGTAATATTTACAAATTCACAAGCATTTTTGTAAGTGACCGGGACTCATTGCTGCAAGGCGTACAGCTACCCCAGAAGGTCTCTGCCGCTAAGGATCCTCTGCCACAAGCATGAGCACTTCCTTCTGCACCTGTGGAACACGGACATGCAAAAATACAGTTTCAGGAGCCAGAAAATCGTGAAGGTGAGGCAGTGATACGCCCGCACCACAGCTTCAGAAGTGGATCGGCACTAGCACAGCACTATCCTCTTGGCTCGTATACAGGTGCTGGTCATATAATTAGAATATCATCAAAAAGTTGATTTATTTCAGTAATTCCATTCAAAAAGTGAAACTTGGATATTATATTCACTCATTCCACACAGACTGATATATTTCAAATGTTTATTTCATTTAATTGTGATGATTAGTTAAGCATGAAGTGCTCTAAAACTTCCTGGTAGACATGGCATGTTGTTGAATAAGTTACAGGA